ATTCCTGCTCCACACACACTCCCCCGCGCTGCTCTTCTCTTGGCATGTCACTGTTCTGTGGAGAACTTTCCCCATGTGAATGCTTCTGTGCTGGCCTGGTTGGCTGTTCTGATGCTCTGCAGGGTGAGGTGGCTGTGGTGCCCTGGGGCCATGGGATCACTAAATATTGGCTGTGCTCCTCAAGCTGGAAACAGACCCAGAGAGACAGGGATCATTGCACTTCAGAACCATCTCACTGGGGACCTGTGGCTGTGGCATCATGGCTTCAAAAAGTCATGATGTGTTCAGATGTGTTCCTAGATCCAGGCCATGGCTCTTCCTTGAAGGTGATGGGAATCACACTCTAGGCTCCCTTCCCTGTACCCATTGCATCTCCCCTGCCTCTCTTGGGATTGCAGAGCCATCATTAGCCTGTGTATTCTTTGGATTAGCCCTTTGTCTTTAGGTGACTCCATTTGGCTTTTGAAGCTGCATTTGCTGCCCACACCCAGGCACAGGGGGTCTGAGAATATCCGCTGTGTTCTCCTGGTGGGACAAAGGATGACAGGCAACTCTCAGCAGCCCTGTCATGTGTGGGACTGTCATGAGCAGATGCATCCGGACAATTCACCATCTCCAGTGGCACTGGTCATCCACAAATTAGAGCTGAGTCAAGCCCTCCTTCCCTAACACCTTACCCTATGAACTTATCCCCATGAGCTCATGGAGTACCCAGGCATAGCAGCAGGCCCTTTTAGAGCACAATTTCTTGTGGGTATTCCTGACTCCAGCTAAAGGAAGAAGGCCTCAGTCTTTGCAAACTGCACTGAAGACATACCCATTTATTGGAGGCTACATTGGAGGCTAGCTCTGACATACCAATCAGCACATTTAAAGAAGGGTCATATGGCCTGGGTTCGTGCTGCTGGATAAGTGGAATAAAATCAATTGTTTGTGTACAGACAGAATAATCACAGGACAAATAACCAAAGCAAAGAAGGTGCCTGAGAATAACTGGAAATCACTTGTGAAGAGACATGGGTAGCTTAGTCCTACTGAAATCTGACAAAGCAAAACACTTTCTTCAGGGCATCCTTGAGCTCCTTGTTCCTCATGCTGTAGATGAGGGGGTTGACTGCTGGAGGCACCAACGAGTACAGAACTGCCAGCACCAGGTTCAGGGATGGGGAAGAGATGGAGGGGGGCTTCAGGTAGGAAAATACAGCAGTGCTGATAAAAAGGGAGATCACAGCAAGGTGAGGGAGGCACGTGGAAAAGGCTTTGTGCCGTCCCTGCTTAGAAGGGATCCTCAGCACGGCCCTGAAGATCTGCACATACGACAGCACAATGAAAACAAAACAGGCAAAGACTAAACAAAGACTAAACACAAGGACTCACACCTCCCTAAGGAAGGAGTCTGAGCAGGAGAGCCTGAGGATCTGCGGGATTTCACAGAAGAACTTGTCCACAGCATTGCCATGGTAGAGTGGCAGTGAAAATGTACTGGCAGTGTGCAGAACAGCATTGAGAAAACTACAGCCCCAGGCAGCTGCTGCCATTTTGAAAGAGGCTCTGGTGCTCATGAGAATCCTGTAGCGCAGGGGTTTGCAGATGGCAACATAGCGATCATAGGCCATGAGAGTGAGAAGGAAATATTCTGCCCCAAGCAAGAAGAAGAGAAAAAAGATTTGGGCAGCACATCCCCCATAGGAGATGGTTCTGGTATCCCAGAGAGAATTGGCCATGTATTTAGGGAGAGTATTGGAGATGGAGCCCAGGTCGAGGAGGGCGAGGTTGACGAGGAGGATGTACATGGGTGTGTGCAGGCAGTGGTCGCATGCTACAGCGGTGATGATGAGGCCATTGCCCAGCAGGGCAGCCAGGTAGATGCCCAGGAAGAGCCAGAAGAGCAAGAGCTGCAGCTCCTGGGTGTCTGCAAATGCCAGGAGGAGGAAATTCGCCACAGAGCTGCTATTGGACGTCTGGTGCGTCTTTGCACAGGAGCATGTCCTACAAGGAAAAACACAGTGACAAGTTAGGGTAAAATCCTCTGTGGAAAAATCTTCTTCATTTTTTGTAGAAATTCCCCACAGTGCCTCTTTCCTTTCAGTAACACCTTTGTGCAGCTCCCTTTTCCTCAAGCTGGGCTTGGGATTGGCTGTGGCTGCCAGGAGAGCAGGGGTTCTGCTGAGGGCTCTGGAGAAGCCACTTCTGCCCTGAAGCAATTGTTAAGTAGGAACATGGAGGGACTTCAGATTAAATCTGCTCATGATGGAAAAGAGCTTTTCAGTATTGTTGACCTCAATTCACTCGTCTACAAATAAGTGCCCTGGGGATTTTTGCTTCCTTATGTTGTATGAGTTGTCCCACCTCACTGTACAAGCCTTTTTGAGGCAGAGGTTTTTTAACGTTTCTGCTGTACTGAAAGTGAAATATAGTGGGTCCTGAGTGACAAGGTGGTTGTCCCTTAGTGCAGGGTGTGGAGAGGTGTCTTCTCCATAAAGTTCCTAGATAACATGGAAATGCTCTGGGAGAGCTGTGCCCTGGTGCAGGGCAAGCTGCAGCCCAGCAGGAC